CCGCTCCGAGATCACCGACCGCTACGAGATCATCAACCGTATCGGATCCGGCGCCTACGCCGACGTATACCGAGCTCGCCGGAGATCCGACGGAGTATCCGTGGCCCTCAAGGAGATCCATGACTACGAGAGCTCGTTTCGAGAGATCGAGGCTCTTCAAGCTCTTCGTCACTCTCCGAACGTCGTTGACCTTATTGAGTACTTTTGGAACGAGGATGAGGATGCTGTGCTTGTTCTTGAGTTCCTGCCGTTGGATCTCGCGTCGGTGATTAACGAAGGGAAGAAGAATGGGATTGGGGTTGGGGAGGTGAAGCAGTGGATGATGCAGGTTTTGAGAGGAGTTGATGACTGTCATCGGAGTTTTGTGGTGCATCGTGATTTGAAGCCGTCGAACTTGTTGATTTCTGAGAGGGGAGTGCTCAAGCTTGCTGATTTTGGACAGGTTTTGGTTTTTATTTTTTTTTATTGTTTTAATTAGTTGCCCTTTTCTTATGCATATACACTTAAACGTAGTGTAATAAGTGAGTATATTTGTAGGAGACTACAGGGTCGTTCTATCCAGGATACAATCAAGGATAAAATGAGAGAGAATCGATTGAGCTGCTTTGGTCATGTGCAGCAAAAATCACTAAATGGGCCGGTTAGGAAAAGTGATCGAGACTACAAATATAGGTGATTGCAACTAAGAAGTAGATGATAATAGATAACAAAGAAGATGATCCATAATAGAACTGAAGAAAAATTCATGTAGCCGGCTCTAAAGATGGCATAAATGCTTTGTTGTTGTTGCTGCTGTTGTTATTGAATGATTGCACTTGCAGTACAACGAAAAAGGATTCCTTTTTCGTTTTCCCTCTATTGAACTTCTGTTTGATTGCATGTATATGTATCTGAATTTTTACAGTTTTTGCAAAGATTTAAGGTAAAGAAAACTGAATGGAATAGCTTGAGGAGGATGGCGACCTGAGGATTGATGCACATCCTCACACCCAGTGAAGAATTTGCTTGTGTTTTAAGTAGTGGCGTCTAAGATTTCTAGAAAGCGGTGAAACTATGTAATTAATAATTTAAAATTTTTTAGAATTGTCCACAACGAGTTTTCATATTTTGAAAAAAATTTACATAATCACATCATTAATAACACTATCAAATATGTCACTAGTAACAGATTTTCATGTTATGAACTTGAATTGAAATGTGAGTTTTAAGTGGATAAATTTCAGGGCAAAAAGCCACTTGAATTTGGGCATTTTCTCACATAACCCCCCTTAAGTTCAAACTATCACAAAACCTTTCTTAAGTTTTGGGATTCTTAGACAACCCCCTTAAGGTTTGCTAGTGAAAATTGTGGTTCACACTTTTAGGGGGGTTATGACATTTTAAAAGTTAAGGGGAGTTATCTAAGCAACCCCTAAACTTAAGAAGGGTTTTGTGAAATTTCCTTTTTTAGTTGGGTGGGATCGGGTGGGAAGTTAGAATTTCGGACGGGTTCCTATGGGCTTATAAATGGAGCTACCTACTTTCTTAGTAGGTTAAGTTTCTTGATGGGGTTACCTTTTAAGTGGTAAGTGGTTACTGGTCCACCTCGACCTAAGTGGGGTCATGTGACCCCACTTTGATTAAGATGGATCTGCCCCTGGTTTTAAGGGATGATGGTTGGACTTTTCAAGTTTTATGGAGGAATTCAGGGGTTTGATGGTGTTGAATCTTAAATTATAGGGGTTGTTCATAGTGCGGTAAACCTGGTTGATTTGATTTAACCATATTCAGAAGAGAATTGTAAGAAGGAATGATTGCAACCTAACCTGAGGGAGGAGATATTGGACATGTTGATGATTTTTTTGTTGGAAGTTTAAATTCCCTTGTGTTAGATTCTGGCATGGTCAGAGGCTGATCTTGATGCATATGGATGGTCTTCTGTAAATTGGGGTTGAGGGAAATACAATAGCTAGATATGTTTCGAGCAACATGAGCTTTATGCTGAAGTGGAGAATGACCGTCTCTAACCTGTATCTCAATAACCAGTTCTCTTAGTAAGTAAAACAACCTTAATTTTGGTTGGATTAATCTGTGATTTCCACACTTAAACACCTTATGCATCAACAGGTTTAATTAGAAACTTAGAATGTAGTTTCATTTGTCTTTCTGGCTTCTATTGTGCCCCATGCATCCATTTGATTCCTTCTGATGAACTTTAATGTCTTCCCTCATTCACATTGCACCTTTCCTGGTCTAGGGATATTTAGGAGAGTGTTACCATGCTGCATGTGCAAATAAATATCGTTGGCTGCAGTCATAGGCACAAATGTGAAATTTACAATCAGTAGATACTAGAATGGATCTGTTTGGCCTTTTGGTTACCTCTGAGAACCCTTTTTTGTATCTAGCCAGCCAGTCATGAAGGTCTAATGTAGTTTGGAACTTTGGATGTGAACTTTGATGGGTACTCCGAGTCTTCCTTAGGAGAGAACAAAACCAAATTGGGAAATCAGAAGCAAGGATTCCTTCTAAGTACTGCTGTTGTCAACTTGCATGTGATTTCTAATCTTATTAAAGGTTCTAATATTAGTAACTACTAACTAACTATCGAGATAATGCTATGAGATATGGAAGAGTTGCTCCGATACAAACATGTTATGATACAACACATCAAGGACATGGTTGGAAGGAAGTATTGTGATGCTTGCCAAGCTGTATAGATTCAAAATTTGTTACAAAGATTTTATTGAATAAAAGTTAACCGAGACACGAAGTTTGCTTTGATGTGATATTAATCCTTGGAATGTTTTGATTCTGTGGACATTCAACTGAATAACAATGTAAAGTTTCATGTAATCAAGCAAAATTAAGCCCTAGTTGTGTAACTTCTGGGAAGTGGTAGCGATCATTATGTTGAAGTTGCTTAAGTAAACTTTTTCCAAAACTCCATGTGCAGTACAGTTTACAGTGACAGTAAGACATGCTTTCTACAAAACAACCTAGTGGTTCACTGTATTTGATTATCATCTGTTGCAATTTCTTGCCTTGATTATTTGTTTGCAACCGGATGCAGTTCTATTATTTATTTTGAATTTTGGAGACTAGCAATTTGAATTTAGCCTTGCTTTCCTTTGCGTCTACATTTGACTGAACCCTTATTTTCATTTGAGTTCTCTGCCAATCTATGTTTCACGTGATCATTCCCTTCTAACAAGGAGTAATTAAACAGATAACCAGAAGTGATGAGCCCCAACATCCCTTGCTTCCTTTCTGAAACAAGAATCCTGTCCATTAAACATTTGGCAGATAGTAACACATTAAAAAAAAAGCTCTAGTTATGTGCTGTCTTAAAATTTGGATCGTAGACATTAGTGCTCAGGTCTAATGCTAGGATGGTAGAGAGGTAGTTTGTAATAACAATTAACACATATTCTATTATTCACTTACTGGTTCTTTCTTACTAGCTTTAATGATTGTGAAGATCTATCTCATCCAACATCTTTAAAATTCTAAACTACATCTCTCTGGTTCCAGGCAAGGATACTTCACGAGTCGAGATTTCTCCCGATGAACAATAGTCCACCTGAACAAGGCTTGGAAAATGAGTTGCACAAATCATTTCAAGTTGGTCTCGAGGATATACAAGAATCAAAAACCATAAGCGAAACCGATTATCTTCAAGAGCTAGATACCCTCAAGGCCAAATACCCAATGTATGACACCGATAAAGAAACCAGTATCCAAGATGGTGATGTCTCATGCCTTGCTACTTGTAGCACTGGCGATATCGAAGATGATCCGTTCAAGGGCTCCTCTTATTCATATGAACCAACAGCGGCCATGGAAGAAGAAGATGAATCAGGTGCTCTGACGTCTTGTGTTGGAACCCGCTGGTTTCGAGCTCCAGAGCTTCTCTATGGTTCCACAAGTTATGGACTAGAAATAGACCTTTGGTCATTAGGCTGCATCTTTGCTGAGCTTCTAAGTTTAGAGCCTCTTTTTCCTGGGACTTCAGACCTTGATCAGATTGCAAAAATCATCAATGTTTTTGGTGACATGAATGAGGATTCATGGCCTGGTTGTTCGAAGCTACCTGATTATAACAAGATTTCGTTTACTAAGATTGAAAATCCTATTGGCATTGAAGCCTGTATACCTAACCGATCTCCTGCAGAGGTTGACATTGTGAAGAAATTGCTTTGTTATGATCCTGCTAGAAGAGCTACAGCTATGGAGTTGCTTGGTGATGGTTATTTTATTGAAGAGCCTTTACCAGTTCCAGTGAACGAATTGAGGGTTCCTGAGATGAGGGATGATCATGATGAGAGCTTGGGTGAAGAATGGAGAAATATGAGGGATTTGATGTCGGATTCTGATGAGGAGATTGGGAGAATGGATATGGTGACCACTGAAAAAGGGTTCTCTTTGAGATTTTCTTAATAAAATTGTCACCCTTCTACTCCTACCCTCGTATTGCTCAGGAATTAAGTACGTCATGTGTTTGTTCCCATTTTGATGGGGAATATTGTGGACACAATACATTAGTTCTTATACACGAAATCTCAAGCGTCTGATATGCATAATGCAATAAGAAAAACCTTTGGCCTATGGTAAAATAATCATAGCAGGCATCACCTGCATGTTGAAAATTTTCATGCTCGAGGCCATGTTATTGGTTCTGAGCTTGGACTCGCAGATTTTATCTGTACAAGAACTATTATTTCGGTGCCTACAATGTGTGCATGACA